CAACAACCACTTCCTTGCCTTTGTCTTTGCCTTTATGGTCCAAATCCGTGGGTATGGGCTCATTATTGGGTGTGGTTGGAACCACCTTAATGTGGCCATCAACTTTAGGAGTAATCTCATTAATGGGGCTAACACCCCCAAAGGTTGGTCATCAATAACCTCCACCAAAACAGTTTCCACTCTAGCATTTGTTCCCCCCTCTTTCTCGGCCAAACTGCCCTTTTGTTGTTCATTTTCGTTAGCAATGGGTTCATTAATGGGTTGTAGAGAGTCCTCATTAATGAGCTCATCCACCTCAGTTACATGGTTGATAATTTCATTCTCTAAAACAGTCCCATCTTTCCCATTTTCCAACTCAAGTACAATTTCATCTCCACACAAAATATTAGTATCCAAAATGGGTACCTCAACATTGTCCTTGGTGTTGTCACTTGCTACATTCTGGTCGAGTGCCTGCTTTGCCTCGGTATTCTCCTTGCTCTTGGGTGTCTCCATCCCCTGCTCTATGGAGTTTTCCCCCTCCCCTTCAATAAAAGACATGGCCTTTTCCATTTCATCCAACATCTTAGCTTCCATGTGTTGCCTTTGGAGTTTCTTCACTGATTTGAGCTTGCTTTTGCCGGTCATAGGAGCCACAGGGGACACGGCCTTCCTATATTTCCGAGTGTTTACCATAGCTAGAATATGGGTCCTAGGCTATGTGAGGTCGAGGAAAACATCCAAGGACGTCCGAAGACCAAGACGTCTCCCAACGTCCTTCCAAAACAAGTCCTTTCTTCTTTGAGCTCAATTTCCGTACTAATGGAGTAAGAAGTCCGTACAAACAGTCACAAAGGTGATTGTACGGAAGAGTAGGATGAATCTAAGAATAGAGTATGTGGTGCACCTTGGAGAGGCGGAGCTCACCCCATATCCAGATTTGTCTTAGCTCAAAAGGAGGCAAGGGGATCTAAGGAAGAATATTTTCGTGAGTGAATAGTAAAGGTGCGAACCAGTGCTGTTTCAAGCTTCCAAAGACTTCAAATCTTGAGCTAAAAGAATAAAGATACTACACCCCTAAGGAAGGAAGTGTATTACAGTTAATATCCTAGCTCAAACACCCAAAAATCCAAGGAAAGAACCCAAAAACAACAAAGTGCGAATGGAGAAGATGGAGTGTACAGACAGTTCATAGAGAGAAGGTGGAGCGAACGAAAAAAAGGATGCACTATAGTAATTAAAGAAGAAAACATTCACACTTTGCATGAGGCGTTTAAGCTAATATCACTTTATAACATTCCCAAATTCGTTTTACTTTATATGATTCTGATAACCAATTTTACAAGATAGCTGAGATATTAAACAAGAATTAGATAAACCCATTAGGCATAGCTTATTAGATAGGAAACAACTAAACTCGCCGGACCACCATGCTATTTTAATTACTTCGTATTAGTATTATTATTACTATTAGTATTTTTACTCTGATTATTATTATTAATTATTAATATGTGTATACATACGGGGGACGGGGTGGGGGGTGCATAACCCATCACCCGTCTCATATTTAATTTAAGCAGGGAGGAAATAATTCCCCCATCCCCATACCCACTCCACCCCACTACCCACCCCAACTCTCTCCCACGGGGTGGTTCCCCACGGGCTCCCACCCGAAACATCCCGATAAAAGAATAAACATTAAACATGGTAGTCTTTTCAAAGTAAATTGAGTCTTTCAATCATCATGCATTGCATCACCTTAATTATAATCTATAATATATACTCTCTCTGTTCCACTGGACTTTATCATCTTTCTTTTTTTGTTTATGCAAAAAAATTTCACTTTTCTTTTGAAACAATTAATTTGTGGTTCTGTTCATTTCTCTCTCCTCTACACAAACTCTAATCACACCGTTTGTACGATTCTAATTTCTCACCCAACATCAACTGGCAAAGTCGAGTGAGATGGAGGTAATATGCAATATTTTGGGCCGGTCATTCCGATTTCTGACATACACATTGATCATTCTCATCCCAACCAAACTAGATGGATACTACTACGTATGATAATTAATGAAGAATATTTTATTCATGACGTAGTAGATAAGGAATGTGATGTCTGCTAGGAGAAAAACACTTCTACAACTTCTACAAGTCACAACGTTTGGCGAATGGGTAACATCTTGAAATACATAACAGCTTTAAAATGTGAAAAGGGAAACTGAAAATGTGCAAAACCACTAACTGCTACGAGAAGTGAATCTATGAGCCTTTGAATATCCTTAAACAACCCCCATAAACTACCAAGCTCGAGGATATTAATCAAGGAACAAAAAGCACTTAAAAAAGACAAGACGTGAAGATATGGTAAGTTTGGATTCAAGAAACTGAGAGATGTGAATGGATTGCAGTGACATGCAGCTTGACGAACATCTTATCTATTCTAATATAAAAGCAAAAGAAGTTTGAGGAATAGTGTTCCCTCCAAAAAAATGTCAACATCATGTTTTATTTTAATTTTTATTGGATAATCTATTTTGATTAAAATACTAATTTTCTATTGGTTGAAGTGAGTGGTAGGAATAGTCAAATACTTAAACCTTATTGGTTGAAATGGGTGGTGAGAATAGTTAAATACGTAAACCTTATTGGTTGAAATGGGTGGTGGGCATAATGAAGCTTATTGATTGTTTCCAAATTCCTAAAAGAGTGCAATGGACTTTCAGCGATAAAAGCAATGTGGATGTAAGAAGGTTTTCACATTCATTCATTCTCATATCAATAAATATATATTATTGCTCAAGTTGGTAGTATTATTTTGTAACAATTGATTTCACCAAAAATTGGTTAAAAAAACATATCGTAATTTTATAATTGTAGGTTGGACAAAAAGAAATAATTCAAAAGACATTGATGGAAGAAATATTTTTTAAATAAAGTGTTGTATTTATTAGAGTTGTGTTATTTAAATAAAAAAATGTCGTCTTAAAATTATCAAATTCATATAAGTCTATGTGTTTGGTGTGTGTTACATCTATGTTGTCTTTTGATATACCGGGTCAAGAAGGGCTGGAGTGGAGATTGGATGTTGGGGACAAATAATGGGTAGCCGATAACCATTTGGAATTCGTTTTTGGCGATTGGGATTTCGGGTTGTTCAACTTCATGAATGAGTTCATCGGCCTCCCAACAGTTCAAAATATTTAAAGGTAGGTGGTTTAGTTGTATTTAATGAGATTGAGTTACTATTAATGGCACGTGACATGTTTGTTCGCACGTGTGTGTACAAGTGTCAATTTTTATAATTGGTGGAAGTGTTGTGTTTAAAGTATCTTTAAAAAATTTAAAAAATGTTTTATGTGTGTTTTGTTAAAAATGCAAACCAACATCATCCATATTGTTTGGAGAATGAAAAATGATAAACATAATTTTAGGATGCTTATTTGTTAAAAAAATATCCATCGAAAATTATCAACAAAAACTGGAAATTAAAAAGATTTTTAACTATAAACATATGGAGTCCAGATCTGTAGAGTTTCGTTGATGTGCTTCACATAAAGTCGATTTTAGGATGTTTATTTGTCAAAAAATGTGTATTTGACGATCGATTTATAAAAAAATGAGATTAATCTTTTATTAAAAAATTATCAAAACAAATCTAGAAATGAAAATCGATTAGAAACATGAACACGAATCTTCGAGATCTGTGGGCTTTGGACGATGTTGTTCATATAAAATCGGTTTGTCGTTGGTTATTCGTGATAATCGTCAAAGCGAGATGTGGTTTGTGAGGTGGTTGGATTTAGATCTTACCCCTGACATGTAAATCTATGCGGAAGAATGAAACCTTTACGGATCCATGGCCATGGAACTTCCAGATCTGTAAAGTTTGTGTGTTGTAGTTATTAAAAAAAAGTTTTAGTTTGGTTATTCCTGGAAAACATGAAATCGACGAAGGCTTGCATGTAGAAGAAGGAAAATGAACTTACCGTGCAGTCTGACTAAATGCGCAGATTGACGCCGTATTGTGTCGATGTTCGTTCGGTTGTGGCTTCACTGTGGGATAAGGGATGAGATCATGGTGATGATGTTCGGCGAAGAAAGGGGAGGGTTTGTGGGAGGGGTCGTTTTCAGAGTCGTTATAAACGCACTTACATTGGGAAGGGTTTACATGGATTATTGGGCTACTTCTGCTGCCCGTTTAGTTGCTGAACATGGACAACACATAGGCTGCTCTGGATCGGCTCGTACAAATAGCTTAAGGTTTCTTGAGTTTAGATGAATGCCCAAATTTGGACATTTAAGTTAATACGTATGAAGGAGTACTCTCTCCGTATTTATAAAGCTTGCTACACTTTCCTATTTGGGATGTATTGTTTTTATAAAAAATAGGAAAAATATGAATATAAAATCTCTATTTTATTGGCTCTTTTCTAATTATTCGTATATTCTACGTTTTAAGAATTTTGCATTGTAATTCTATATGATGTAGGTTTTCATGTATTTTATTTATTTGAAAACGGATTTAGTATTTATCAATTTTGACATTGTTTTTAGCATTTTTATACTTTTATTTATATATTTTCAAAATGCATATGTGCTTTTATAAAAAAAAATCAATTATGTGAAGTTATTTAGAAAACTAACCACCATAGTGGCTCAAAATGCCTTGATTGAATGTGTTTTAAAAGTAAATGTACTTAATGACACCATTACTTTTATTCGTATATGGTCAACACACATGTGTGAAATAATATAAAGATCTCTTTAAACACATCCCACAAATTTATATTCAAGTACAGTTTAAAAATAAAATAACACACTTTTACATTATTGCACACCCCCTATTTTGCATGTTTACCCGGGCAATCATTTAGAAAATGAAAAAAATATTTGTTAAATCATTTGTGCATTGTGAGAGTGAATTTACTAGAAGAAATGATTTTAATTTTAACACGAGTTAGTACGAGATAGAAGGTCTTAATTTCGAAACATTTCTTTTTTTGGATGAACAGTAAGTATATATATAAAGGTAACCACCTGCTTGTTGAGAGCTTCTCTCTCTGGAACCCGCTCCAGATTCAAGCGCATGGAGAACAATAGTTGATTTATGGACTTTTGATGTTTGTGATTCGATTTCTTGTCATTTCTTAGTCGTTATTCACACTTGATTTCAATTTCGTGGTTGGATTTGTAATTAGGACCTTGAATTACGGTTAAAAACCTAGAATCGATATACTGGTTCGTGACTTGTACTGTTAATGTCAAAATCGATTCTGTAAAAGGAATTTGATATTGGTGTTTGTTTTTGGATCTTAATCTGGTTCCTTAGACGAACTCCCACAGCCTGGTTTGAGCGTGGAATGTTCGTTAGCTGAGACCCTAATTTTCTGGATGAACTTCGCGTTCTGAGTGTAGCGGATGAAGAAACAAAAGAAGGCTGGGATTGGGGAGTCCTCGTCCAGGCTTACCAGGTCAAAGGCAGCCAATTTTGACCTACTAGATGGATTCGAGGACGATTTCCTGAAGCTCGCTAAACCAACCCTGAAACAAACGGGTACTGCTGTACCACTTGAAGCGGGTGCTAAAGCTGTTGCAGGGGATTCTGGTAGAAAGCCTAATGCTGATGGTCCCTCGCCATTTGTTGTTGCTCAAGATGAAATTGCGTATAAGGCAAATAAAGTAGTAGACCCAGCTGCTGGTGCAGGGCATTCTGGTGCAGGGCATTCTGGTGGAAGGCTAACAGCGATTGCAGGGGACTCTGGTGGGCTAACTGCTGCTGCCAAACCTGCTGCTGCTAAGCTACAAAACCCAGCTGCTACTGCTACAAACCCAGCTACGCAAAACAACTCAGCTGCGCATAACAAACCTACTGCTGCTAACCCAGCTGCGCTAGAAAGCCCAACTGCTAATGCTACAAACCCAGCTGCACAAAACAACCCAGCTGCTACTAAAAAGGCTGGAAATAAAACTGCTGCTATGGAACTGGTCAGACAGTTTGGACCTGTGGGAGCTATCACAGTGGCAGAAACTCTTGCACCTACTTCCATGACAAGTATGCCAAAGAAGAAGCAATGGAGTGCACTATTTAAAGACAATCGATCTCCTTTCGAAGGGCTTAAACTGAGGTATATTCCACCAACTAGTCATATTCTTGATTTTTCAGACCGTGTGTTACCTTCAATGGTGGATATATTTGGCTACTGTTTGGTGGGTGTTTGGTGGGTTTTTTCACGGGAGGGTTCCCTGGTTTAAAGGCAACCCATAGCCTTACAGAAAAATGGAGAGTACACTCTGAAGTCAAACCACATGATAAGGGCTGGGTTGTTTTTAAATTCAGGAGCGAAGCTGATAGGACTAAGGTTATGCTTGAGGGGCCTTATATCCTTTATGGGAAGCTACTGGTTTTGAAGGCCCTGTCCGATGATTTTTCCTTTGAAGATGACGAGTTCTTGAAGGTGCCGATTTGGATAAAATTCCCTAAGCTCCCTGTGAGGTTGTGGAATGAGGATACTATTAGCGAAGTTGCTTCTAAGGTTGGAGTTCCACTCACCACAGACAGGATAACGCTTGAAAAGGCAAATCACAACTTCGCTAGAGTATTAATTGAAGTGGACGTGACAAAGCCACCTCCCCTCTCATTTCCAATCAAGACGACGTCAGGAAGAATCTTTGAGCAGCGGGTTCTCTATGAAACGTTTCCAAACTACTGTTTCCATTGCAAACAGTACGGACACCATCCTTTCATTTGCAAGGAACTAGCAGAAAAAGAAAAGGCTGAAACTGGCGAATCAGAAAAAGTTGAGACTATATTAGTAGCTAAGGAACCCACAATGAAGGCTATTAAGGCTACGAAGACCATTGCTGTGCAAAAGACTGTGGACCTAGAACGGGAATTTGTGGAAGTACGTAAGCGGAAGGGAATTTGTGCAAAAGCCAGTGATTGAAACTACTGTTTTTGAGAACATAGGGGCAGAAAAGGTGCAACTAGATCCTCCTGATGCTGCATTGTTTGAACCAGCTGCACCAGTACTTGCTGCTGCATTGTCTGCTTTTGAAGTTGCTGCACCACAATTTGAACCTGCTGCTACATTGTCTGATGCACTTGAACCTGCTGCCACGCTTGTTGATGCACCAGAACTTGCTGCTACTCTACCTACTGCAATTTGTGCTGCTGCAACTGCACCTGCTGTTGCTCAACATGTTGTGCTACTGCACCTGCAAGTTCTGCTACTACTCTACCTGCTGCAATTTGTGCTGCTGCAATTGCACCTGCCGGTTCTCAACCGGCTGCTCCTCATCCCCAAGCTGCTGGGATTGACAATGGATTGGTGACTGGAAGGGATCCTGACGGGCCACAAGAGAAATCTGCTGCTGTCCAGGCTTCACACCCGACCGGGTGCTCCTCTCACCCGACCGGGTCTCCAAAGCAGATTGTGCAGGGGTCGATTTCAACTGAAAAAATTGATGATGCAGCAGTGCAAAGTGCACGGAAACTGGCTGTGGGTGTGCAAACTGACCAAGGGGCTTCACAAATTGTCGTGAACAACTCAAATGAGGACCACGGGGCCACCGATTTCGAGGCTATGGGAAGGATTGTGAGGAGTTATAAGGGTTTGAAACAAGATGATGTTGCCATCAAATGTGAGATCATAAACGGTAAGACTTTCGAGTTGCTTGTCAAACCGTTTAGACATGTCCATGTTAGTGTCATTAGAGTGGATTCCTTTCTTTGACTTACTGATAATTTGGATAAGAGGGGCATAACTTTCACCGCCCATTGTCTTGAGAGGCTGTTGGGGGTTACCAAGAAGAAAGGGGAGGTTTACTTTGGCGCAAAGTTTACTAATCCTTTCCATGCTTTCTTTGGACATTAAATTAGGATTTCCTAATTTTATTTGGTGAGCTTGTTTGTTGAGTTTACTTTGCTCCGAATGTGTTTTTTTAGGTTCAAATTGTTGACTTTTGTTGATCTCTATCTTGATGTTGTGGTATCCCTTGTTTCGGGATATGCACTTTGCTTGTAACATTGACTTGTTATTTCTTTGGGTGTTAATATATACTTACATTTCATCCAAAAAAAATAAAAGTAACCATCCAAAGAGTTTAAATTGTACAATCAAAAAGGTGGGCAAAATTGGAGGCTATCCAAAAAATGGATAACCCATCACCTCAAAAGCAAAACTAGAGAAGCTAGTTTAGCACACAATGCAGAAGTGGCCGATCACAAAACAATAGGTGATGGGCAAGAGCTATTCAAAAACCTACCAACTCATGTGGATATATGCTATACAACACTTTGTAGACAATGTATTTGATTCGGGCAAAAGTATCCTCGGCTTTGGGGGAGGCTCTATCAAATTTGATAGCGTTCCAAGTCCTCCAAATGTGGTAAACCGAGAAGCAAAATGCAATCCGTGTAGCTTTAGCTTGAATGTTGGAACCTCTCCTTTCTTTCTTTATCCATTTGACCGAGCTTGATAGTGTGCCCATCAGCCACGGCATGCTCATCCAATCTTTAACCAAGCTCCAAATTTTTCCTGAAAATGGACATTCAAAATATAGGTGTGAAACCATTTCCGGTCCACTCTTGCTCATCACACAAGTGTTAACTACATCCAATCTATGAAGATTGTCACATGTAGCTAACGTATTTCGGAATGCCAACCAAGTAGTAAAGGAAAACTTAGGAGGAATATAATCTTTCCAAATAAATGCCATCCAAATATGAGAAGGAACTTTAATTCTAAGCAAATTATACACCTTTGAGGATACAAGTTTCCCATTAGATTGGAAAGAATTCAAGCATTGAATAGTACTAGCAACATCTTTAAATTTAGAGACAATTTCATCACGTACCATAGAAATTTTCTTCATCAATTGTGAATCCCTATGGTGTGGAACAAAGTCCCACACATTCCGGCCATTAAGGTACACACTATGAACCCATTTAACCCAAAGCGTATCTTTTTTCAAATGAATGTCCCAAAAAGTTTTAGCAAGCAGTCCACCCTCATCCTTGGGGAGGCAAATATCAGCCCAAGAGACTCTAGAGAATTTGCATCCCCAAAGGAAGATGCGGCAAATAGATGTTATTCTATCAAGTATTACCTTAGGGATAGGAAACAATTGTAGCCAAAAGGAATGCACACCCTGAATAACAGATTTAGTTAGTTCAACTCTGTCTGCATAAGAAAGGGTCTTGAGATTCCAAGCACTAATGTAATTAGTAATTGACTCTAGCAATGGAGCAAAATGATTCACAGATATCTTAAGAGGAGCTAAAGGGACTCCAAGATATTTAACAGGAAAGGATCCTGCCTTAAAGTCCACCAAGCTAAGAATATTGTCAAGCTCATATATAGCCATACCCCCTAAGAAGATATTTGATTTATCATAATTGACCCTAAGGCCAGAAATGTTACCAAATTCCTCTAAGGAGTCAACAAGAATTTTGATAGAAGCAAGGTCACCTCTAGAGAACAACATTAAGTCATCCGAATATGCAATATGAGATATTGTCAAGCTGCCACATTTAGGATGATGTTTAAAAGCGGTTTCACGTGTTCTCACATTCAAAAGTCTAGACAAGTATTCCAAACATAAAGCAAATAAGAGAGGGGACATAGGGTCCCCTTGCCTAATACCTCTCTTACCAACGAAGTGCCCATGAAGAACACCATTGATAGAGATAGAGTATGAAGGAGTGGTAACACACTCCATAATCCAGTGAATAAATCTGCAAGGAAAACCCATGTGTACAAGCATGCTATAAAGGAAGTCCCATGAAATAGTATCATATGCTTTACGGAGATCAACTTTGATCATGCATCTGGGAGAGACATGTTTCCTAGCGTATCCCCTGACTAGCTCTTGGGCAATAAAAATATTATTAGTCATAAGTCTACCATCAACAAAAGCCCTTTGGACAGGGTCGATGAGGTCAGGTAAGCATGGGATCAATCTCTTAGAAATGATCTTGGTGATGACTTTATAGACCACATTGGTACAAGCAATGGGTCTAAAGGCTATTATGTCCTTAATGGCAAGAGTGAATGGGTGAATGGGTGAATGGGTGGTCTTAGGAATTAGTGCAATAAGCGTGTGATTGAGTTGTTTGAGGAGTTTACCTGAATCGAAGAAGCCCTTAATGGCAAGAGTGAAATCATGGCCTATTATGTCCCAATTATGTTTGAAAAAGCAGAAGTAAATCCATCAGGACCCGGGGCTTTATTGTCCCCAATATCAAAAAGAGCTTCTTTAATCTCCAAATCAGATATAGGTGCAATAAGTCCATCAACAAATTCAGTGGGCAGAATCTTACCCGAGGCAACAATATTAGGATCTAAACAAGTACTAGGATAATAAGTGTCAAAAAGATTAGTCTAAAAGTTGATAAACTCCATAGCTACTTGATCAATAGAAGTGGTAAGAAAAAAGAAGAAGAAAAAGAGAAAATAAGTGGTAGAGTCACCATTTGAAAGCTTTAGGGCAGTAATGGTGTTTCTAGCAAGGTTCTTCTTCACAATAGAATGGAAATATTTGGTACATTTATCACCTTGAACTAGATGCGTAGCTTTAGCCTTTTGCCTATAAAAATCCTCCTCGGCCAATTTAAGGTTAAGGAGTTTCTTTTTTTCCAAAGTGATGTCATTCCTAATGGTTTCATCAAGAGGGTTTAACATGGACATTGCAAGTAATCTTTTATATTCCTTCTTAGAATCCTTAACCTTTTCGGAAATATGACCAAATTTTTGAATGTTAAGCTCTTTGAGAGGTCTTTTAAGGCCTTTCAAATTTTGGGCAAGAATGAATTGAGAGCTCCCATGAACTATTGTACACCAATGTGTAGTAAGAATGATATTGAAAGCCTCATGTCTAAATCACATATTATAAAACTTAAAAGGTTTTGAGCCTTTAATGTTGTTTTGGCCGATTGTAACAAGAGAAGCCACATGATCAAAGTCAACTTCCATATCAAAAAAATGGGTTTTGCAATAAATACCATTAGTATTCCAAAGCGGGTTCATAAGTACCCTATCAAGTTTAGCCCAAAGGGATCCTCTATTCCAAGTAAGGAATTCACCCGTGGAAGGTGTATCAACAAGATTTGTTTGGACTTTAAAATCATTTAGGTCTTGGATTAGGTAAGCCGAGGGAGGGGTGGGACCCACTCTCTCATTTGGACTACCAACACAATTGAAATCACCCATTACAAGCCAAGGACTAGTAATATTGGGTTCCAAGTTAGCAATATGATTCCAAAGTTCCCTCCTTTCCAAAACCGTATAAAGAGCATACACAAAAGTGACAAAAAATTGCAATTGAGTAGTTCTACATTTCAGCTCACAATGTACATGTTGTTTGTCAACTTCAAGGATATTAACATGCACAAAATTGGGATCCCAAAGTATGGCCATACGGCCCCCATCAATAAGATCAAAATTTGTAATAGATGACCAAGAAGGTAGTCTATTTTTCCTAAATTTCTCAAAATTAGTGATATTCATTTTGGTTTCTAGCAAACAACATATACGTACACAATTAGCATGCATAAAACTAACAATAGAGTTTTGTTTAGAGACCTTGTTAAGGCCTCGGACATTCCATGAGCTTACAAACATTAAAAAGATCAGTTAGTGTACCTTCCTTTCCCTTTGTATCTCCCACGTTGCACCGTGCTAGGATCTCTTGGTTTGTACCTATCAAGATAAAGAAAGGAATAGGTAAATTCAATAAAAAAAGAGGTAAAAACAAACTCATCTGTCATTCGGATAACCCCGGGGATGACTTCAAAGCAATCAAGAGTGAAGGTGAGGCCCATAGTGTTTTCATCTTGGGTGACAAGCAAGTAGTTGTCCATCCGTACAGCCTGTTCTTTGACATCATCTTGGTGTTGCAAATGGATAAGAGGAATGTTATCTTTTTCCAACTCCAACTTTACAATGATGTCATCTCGGTATGCATCCCTAATGTTCTTCACCACCCGGATAGAATGGTAATCTTTCATCTTTGGATTCTTGACCTTGCATGAGTTACCTCTAGGCAGCCCCTCTTTATAGAATCTTCCAAGATAATGCCTAAATACACTTCTCATAAAATCCGGACCAAAATTGTAGCTTGTTTTGAAGGGAGTTATCCCGGGGAGGCTTTCAAGACATTCTTTAGTGAAAAAGACTCCGGCATCATCTTCTTTGACTATTTTGAGGTTATAGTCAAGATTGATGGTAATAGCACTCTTGTCAACCTCGTCAATTTGCTTGACTTTAATGGTAGGCATACGTGATTCCTCGGCTTCCATTTCCACAACTACTTCATCTTGGTAAGAGTCATGAAATGTTCTTACCACCCGTGTAGGTTGAAGATCATCTTCCTCTTCTTGGGTCTTGTATTCGGATGTACCACCTTCTCCTCTTTTTGGTTTCTTTTTGCTAATCTTGAAAAACCGGAACCTCTTAAAAAAGGGGTGATCTTTTTTAGAGGTATAGATTTGGTCATTGACTTCCTCCATAATCTCTTTTCCTTTGTTGTTGTTGGCGATTGGGGGGTAAGTATCATTTATCTCCCCCTCTTCATGGTCCTTTGGTAAGATGTTATTTTTTTCTTTTTCCCCTCTCTCAATCTCGGCAATAACATTACAAGTGAAAGCATGATGTCCAAATCTTTTGCAATGGAAGCAATAGTTTGGAAAGGTTTCATACCTTACATATTGCGTATGAAGTCTACCATTAGGCAATCTGATTATGAAGCTCAGTGGGGGGATTTGGAGGCATCAACTTCAATAAGAACCCTTGCAAAGCTTGATCTAGCCTTCTCAAGTGTGACCCTATCCGTGGTCAAAGGAACTCCCACTTTGGATGCTATTTCACTTATTATGTCTTCTTCCCAAATTCTTATGGGCAAGTGTGGAAATTGGACCCAAGTAGGGACCTTAAGGAACTCCTCATCCTCCATTGAAAAGTCATCCGAAAGTATTTTGAGGTGGATAAGCTTACCAAAAAGTGAATAAGGTCCATCCATTAGGACTTTAGCCCTATCATCCTTATTTTGAAACTTATATATGACCCATCCTCTATCGTGAGATCTCACACGGCATGGGACACCCCACTTT